AGGTTCCCCATCCTCCTGCAGCTGGGGAGCTGACCAAAAAAACCTGTCCCCATCCCTGTCCCTGTCCCCAAATCCCCGGACAGGCTTGGGGTGACTCGGTGCGTGGCTGCGGGCGATGTGGGGAGGTGCAGGGGGGGTGTCTTGGCTTTTTTCTCCCACTTTTGGCCCAAAATGGGGCTGAGGCAGACCACGGGGATGTGCCAGGCCAGCTCCAGGCGTGCACCCCGGGGGTCGTCCCCTGCAGTGCCCCCCGTGATGCCCCTGCAATGCCCCGTGCACCATCCCCGTGCACCATCACCATGCACTATCCCTGTGCACCATCCCAGTACAACATCCCAGTGCACCATCCCAGTACATCCCAGTACACCGTGCACCATCCCAATACAACATCCCAGTGCACCATCCCAGTACATCCCAGTGCAACATTCCTGTGCACCATCCCATCACCCCCATGCACCATCCCAGTACATCCCAGTGCACCATTCCATGACACCATCCCAGTACACCATCCCCATGCACCATCCCACCATCCCAGTGCACCATCCCAGTACATCCCAGTGCAATGACCTGTGCATCATACCCATGCACCCTCCCAGTACAACAACCCTGTGCACAATCCCAATGCACCGTCCCAGTACATCCCAGTGCAATGCCCTGTGCACCATCCCCATGCACCCTCCCAGTACAACAACCCTGTGCCCCATCCCAGGGCACTATTCCAGTACATCCCAGTACAACATTCCCATGCACCATCCCGTCTTCCCCCATGCACCATCCCAGTACAACATGCCAACGCACCATCCCAGTACATCCCAGTGCAATGCCCTGTGCACCATCCCTATGCACCATCCCAGTACAACATCCCAGTGCACCATCCCAGTACATCCCAGTACAACATTCCCATGCACCATCCCATCTTCCCCCATGCACCATCCCAGTACAACATGCCAGCGCACCATCCCAGTACATCCCAGTGCAATGCTCCATGCACCATCCCCATGCACCATCCCAGTAGATCCCAGTGCACCATCCCAGTACACCATCCCCATGCACCATCCCAATACATCCCAGTGCACCATTACAGTGCACCATCCCAGTACAACATCCCAGTGCACCATCCCAGGACACCATCCCAGTACATCCCAGTGCAATGCCCTATGCACCATCCCTATGCACCATCCCAGTGCAATGCCCAGTACATCCCAGTACAGCATTCCCATGCACCATCCCAGTACACCATCCCAGTGCACCATTCCAGTACATCCCAGTGCATCATCCCATTAAACCGTATCACCATCCCCGTGCACCATCCCCCCACCCCAGTGCACCATCCCAGTACATCCCAGTGCAATGCCCCATGCACCACCCCACGCACCATCCCAGGGGACACCCCTGCAGTGTCGTCCCCCCCCACCGTGCTGCACCCCCCCAACCCCTCTCCCCCTCCATCGCCCCCTCCCCTTCCCACCCCCCCCGTCCGAGCGGGACCTCGGAGGAAACCGGGGACCCCCCAGCCTCCAGCAGACCCCGCAGCCTCCCCCCGCCCGGGGAAGCACCTCGGGGGGGGGGGGGGGCAGGAGCTCGGTGATGCTGATGCTGAGCGGGGCCGCCCCCCCCTCGCCCTCCCCCTGCCGTCCCCGCCCTGGGGCTGAGCCCAAGCAGCCTCCGGAGCCCAGAGCTCGCCGGAGCCTCCCCGGCGCAGCATCCCCGGCGGGGAACGGAGCCCCGAGACCCCCCCCCCACGGGCTCTGCCCGAAGCAGGTAAGGGGGTGACAAGGGTGGGGAGGTGGAGAGGAGGTGGGGAGGGACCCCCGGACCCCCCCTCCCCAGTTTGGAGGCTGGGAGCAGCAGGGAAAGTTTCCCTTTACGCACGAAGTTCCCGTCCTACAGGACCCCCCCCCCAAGTCCGATAGGACCCCCCCCCGCGGCTATCTGTCCTTTATCTATTCGTTATCAGCACGAAGAGGGGGGCAGACACCCTCCTGCCCCCCCCACCTGCTCCTCGCTGCCTCCCCGCCTGCACCCAAGGGTGCCGAGAGCTCCCTGCGGCACCCAAGGGTCCGGCATTCAGCAGCGGGGTGCCAAGGGCGTGGGGGGACCCATCGGGAAATTTTTAGGATGTGGGGGGGCACGGGGGGGCTGCAGGGAAGGGAGATGGCAGGGGAGGTGTGAGGGATGGGGTGGTGGGGATGTGGGCACCGAGAGGTGGGTGCAGCCTCCTGGATGGGGCAGGGGTGTCCTTGTAGGGGTGCAGCCCCCAGGGGCTCCATCCTCACCCATCCCATCCCCATCCCATCCCCATCCCACCCCATCCCCATCCCATCCCATCCCATCCCATCCCACCCCATCCCATATCCCCATCCCATCCCATCCCATCCCATCCCATCCCATCCCATCCCATCCCCATCCCCATCCCCATCCCATCCCATCCCATATCCCCATCCCACATCCCCATCCCATCCCCATCCCCATCCACCTCTGGGTGGGGGTGCACCCAGCGCACCTCCTTCCCCTCCCCAACATTTATTATTTGGGGGGGCCCAGCTTTCCCCACACCACATCCGAGCCTGGCAGCAGCACCCCTGGGCCCCCCCATTTCAGCCATGTGGGGCATTTCCAGCTCGGCGCAGTGGCCACAGCTCCCCCTTCCCATTTCCCACCCCCTCCATCCATTAATCAGCCCGGGTGCGAGCTGGAAACTGCGAGCCCATGACGGCCCCTTGGTTTTATGCTGTTGGGGGGGGGAAATTTGGTGGTGGGAGCTTGGTGGGCACCAGGAGTGCTGGGCTGGGGGGCTCCTGTGCCTGGGGGTGGGAGAGGCTCGGGTTGGGTATAGAGGGGTCACCTTGCAGGCATGGGAAGGAGCTTTTGGGACCTCTGCAGAGCGAGGGGTTTCATCACTGGAAGAGATTTGGTTTGCTGGGGAGGGAGTGGGATGGGATGGGATGGGATATGGGATGGGATGGGATGGGATGGGGATGGGGATGGGGATGGGGATGGGATGGAGATATGGGATGGGATGGGATGGGGATGGGGATATGGGATGGATGGATGATGGATAAGTGGATGATGGACGATGGATAAATCGGTGATGGATGGATGACGGGTGGGTGGGTAAGCGTGGGTGGCACATCTCGCCCCACTGCCAGTGCCATCTCCCCAAATCCCCCCCCCAGGGACAGCTCCGTGCCACCCCACCATGCTGTCCCATGGGCAGGGAGCCTGGGGACACTCCCCCGGGGAGCATGAGCTCCCCAATCTCTTCCCAAACACCCACTCTGAAGATTTTCATCCCAGGCCGCTATCTTCCAGGAAAAGGAACAAAATTCGGGGCAGGGACCTCAGCCCAGACGCCCAGCTCCATCCCGGCTCCTCCAGCGCTCGCTGCCAGCAGGGACCCCCAGGACCCCCCTCCGGAGGTGCCCCATGGTGGCTCTCCCCACCGAGGCTCCTCGGCCACCGCTGTCCCCGTGCCTGGGGGCGCTTGGCAGGCAGCAGGGAGCATGGGGGGGCTCTGCCGTGGCTTCGTGCCCCTCCTCGCCTGGTGCTTCGTCGCCTTCCAGGAGGGTAAGGGCAGCTCTCGCTTTCCCTGGGGTACCCAAATTCCTTTGCTCCCCTGGGTCCCAGCCTAATTTGGGGATGGGGGCTGTGGGTTGCTGCACACCCTACGGATTTGGGGTTCAGCCGCCTGCACAATTCCTTTTGGGCTGCTCTGTGCTGTGCAAAGCCCCGGCAGAAATTTATGGGGCTCTGCAGCGAGCAAGGACCGAGGCAGCTGGTGTTGAGCACGCCCTCGGCCATCCCAGAGCAGCGTTTTCTCTCCGGGTTTCTTGGCTGGGATTGCAAAATCGTCCTTGCACCACGCCACAAGCACGGGGCAGTGCAGCAGGGGACAAATCCCCTCTCCCCATCCCCACCTGCCCGCTGCAGCAAAGGGGGGCTTGCCAAGAAATACCCCTTGCCCAAGCAGGGCAGAGAACCAGGACACCCCCACCCTGCAATTTTTTTGGGGGGGCAGATCTTGCCTTCACCCCCAAGCCCTGCTGAGGTGGAGCAGGGAGCAGAAAACCCCCCAGGGCAGGGAATTGGAGAAAGGGGATGAAATATTTAATTTCTTTTATTTTCGGGGCCGTGCACCGCTCTGTTTTGGGGGGGCATGGGAGGGGGGTTTTTCCCTTTTTTACCCAGCCCCCAGCCCCATCTCCTTGCAGCAGCCCCGGCGCAGAAGCAGCCCCGCAGCCACGCGGAGGAGCGCCTCTTCAAGCACCTCTTCACCGGCTACAACCGATGGTCCCGGCCGGTGCCCAACACCTCCGACGTGGTCATCGTGAAATTCGGGCTCTCCATCGCGCAGCTCATCGACGTGGTGCGTAGCCCACCCGGGGGACCCCAGCCCCGTGCCTGCGAGCCCCCTGCAGCCCCCTGAGGAGCTGCTCGCGAGTTTGGGCACGGTTTGGGGCCCCTTTGGGCACACAGCAGTGAAATAGGAATCCCCAGGGGATGCTCAGGGCTCCTTCCACTTCTTGCCCACTTTTCCAACCCTTCTGCTCGACCATGGGCAGGGGAAACTCATGCGAGGGGGGCTTCAGGCAGCAGCACCCCCTGCCCATCTCCATGCGGTGCCAAGCCACCCAGCACCTGCCCAGCCCCCCAACAAGCTGGGGGCTGCTCCCCTCATCCCCAACCTCCCTTTTGGGAGCAGGAGAGCATCGAGGAGCATCCGTCCATCCGTTTGTGGGGCTGTGCTTGTCCTCCTTTTTGGACTGTGCGCCACAATTTGCTATTTATTGCTGCCATCTAGCGAGCAGCCAGCCTCTCCCTCTCCTTGCACTGGCACCAGTTGCTCCCAGGAGCTGGAGCCCAGTGGCAGAAGGGGCTGCACGCCCAGCAGCGCGTCCCTCTCTGCCTGCCTCGTCTCATTTCTCCCCATTTCACCCCCACAATAGGATGAGAAGAACCAAATGATGACCACCAACGTCCGAGTCGCGGGGGCCAAGGAGGGCAGGGGGCAGCAGGTCAGACAGCGCCCCAGGGGCAGGATCCGACCCTCGGTGCCCTGGGCTGGCCTGGTTTGCACCCGGGGTGCTCGGCTGCACCCCCCCTCACCTGCCACACCAAATCACAGCCCCCCCACCCCTTCCAACACCACTGGGCTGGGTGGGGGGGAAGTAAAAGGGGGAGAAGCCCCCAGACTCCACCCACGCTCGCGCTGTCGGCCAGCACCGAGTGCCGCTCCTCCAGGTGCCTGTGGGGTGGGAGGATGGGGTCACCAGTGGGGTTAGGGTAAGGGTAGGGGTCCTGGTCCCCCCCAGGGGGCTGTGCACTACTCACGGGCTGGGGATCCGCGGCAGGCTGCTCCTCTTCTCCCTTTCTGCAAGGGGACAGCAACGGTCACCCCCCGGTGTCCCCTCGCCTCTCCAAGGGGAGAAGGGCAGGCACCCCCCCAAACTCCCCCGTGATGTTTTGGGATGGTTTTGGGGGAGGTGTCCGGCCTCCTGGGCACCCACCTCTCCTGGGGAAGGCGATGAGGGAGGTCTCCAAGCCCCCCTGCAGCCGGCAGTAGCCGTCGATGAGGTCTGCCATGTTCTCCGCCTCGGCCAGAGAGGATGTCTTGATGGATAGGGACTGGGGGGGACAGGGGGATGGGTGAGGGGCTGCACCCCATGAGCTGAGGGGTGGGGGTGTGTGGGGATGGGGATGGGATGGGATATGGGATGGGATGGGATGGGATGGGATGGGGATGGGGATGGGGTATGGGATGGGGATGGGATGGGATATGGGATGGGATGGGATGGGATGGATGGGATGGGGATATGGGATGGGGATATGGGATGGGGATATGGGATGGGGATGGGGGGGGATGGGATGGGGATGGGGATGGGATGGGATGGAGATATGGGATGGGATGGGGATATAGGATGGGATGGGATGGGGATGGGATGGGATGGGATGGGGATATGGGATGGGATGGGATGGGATGGGATGGGGATGACCCCAAGCTCCCCAGCACCATCACCGCAAGCACCACCCCCCAAAACCCCCCAGACAAGGAC